AGTTGGTGCACCTCGCCTCTGCACTCGGTCCAGGCGTACTGCGCCCAATCGGCGAGATCGCCTAAAGCCCGGACCTCGCGTTTGCTGCGCGTCCGGAGAACGTCGCGGGCAAAGGCGCTCAGGCCGGGTTCGCGGTGTCCTTCGACGCGGACTGTCGTCGCCGTGAGTCCGCCTATCAGAGTCGTTACTGTGCCCTTGGCCATCTCGACCTCGCCCACGTTGCAGCCAGCGAGCGAAGAGACGGCAAGGGCACCCCAGACCCCGACCGCTTCGGCAAGGAGATGCTGCCGAAGAACCCGGCCTAACCGGGCGTCCGCTCGGTCACGAAGCCCCAACCCAGTGGCGATGTCCACCCGCCCGTCCGCCACAGAGGTCCGGAGGCGCTTCCTCTGCGACTCCACTGCTGCGTGAGCCGCTTCCATCTCGCTTGGCGCGCTCCGAATGAGAAGTGGGATCTCGGGCGGCGAAGACGAAGCCTTCGGCTTCCGAGGGGGGTCTTGACTCCACGCTTTCGGCGACATCTCAATCTGTGATGCAAAGAGCGAAAGGACAATATTTGTTTTTTTAAAACCCCGCGCTCGGGGGAAAAAACTGCGGCGTCTTATGCGGAGCTCCCCCAAAAAGGGTGGCCGTGATCTCAGATCTGTGGACTCGAGATAAGTCTTAGGGATCCAGTTATTAAGATGATTTAGGAAATCCTTTTCTGGTCTGTAATTAGATCGTAAGAATGTGCACTGTCGAATCCTTTTCTGCATCATGAGACGGATGACTTCACGATCTGAGTGTCGGAAGTCAGGATTTGCAGATCTGGTGATCCACGCATGAGTAGACGACGCTCCTTTGCTGGGCACATTGGGGGTTCCGTCCCAGAAATCGAATCCATAGCCATAGAGCACACACGTGTGCCTGTCGTGTCGACCACGCACTCGCGCACTCCCTAAAATTTTTACAAAAAGCATGAGAGTGTATGAAGTGACGATCTATTCAAATGACTACGGTATTGTAAAGGGCCTGCAGAAGTGTGTACCGAAAACCAAGGATGGGGTGACCACGGTGGAGGTTGAGCTGCCAAGCACAGTTTGTGACTTGAAGAATGTGAAGACAGTGGAAGGTGAGGGCTACGTCGTAAAGAACACGGCGCTGGTAACTAAGTTTGTTACTGAGCAAGCAGCCGTTGAGCGCTTGTCGTCAGAAGCACAAGCGTTGTACCACAAGATCAAAGGCGTTATCAAGGAGATGACCTTGGTGGAGATAAAGAGGAACGAGTTCCAGAAGAAGAAAGAGGTTCTTCAGCAACTCTGCACCAGTGTCACTGACCCCAGAACTCTTGCTCAGTGCTTACTATCTGCCCCCCCCTTTGGACTACAGTGCCGGCCATACGACGGCAAGCGGGAACAAGGAGTCGACCAGGACAAGCCTGAAGAACGGCAAGGCGTTGAAGAACGGCAAGGCGTTGAAGAACGGCAAGGCGTTGAAGAACGGCAAGGGGGCGATGTATACAGTGGCAGTTGGCGTGGCAGAGGTCCTGCTGGGGGGCAGATTGTCTCTTCGATCGCGGATACTCACTTGGACGCGTTCAACAGGATGTCGGTGTTGGACCTGCAACTAGTGGAACTCAACATAAACTCCGAGAGGCTGAAAGCCCAGGCTCTGGCGCTGAACCAGGATTTCGCGGATCTTACGGGAGACGTGACCATCCCGACCGTGGCGAAAAGACTGGAGCGCAACGGGGAAGGGCGTCAAGATGTTCTCAAATGTTTCACAAAGTTTGAAAAAGCGTCTGCAAAAGAGATGAAGACGGCCGTCCTCGTCGTGGGGAAGGAGTCGTCCGGGAAGGAGTCGTCCGGGAAGGAGTCGTCCGGGAAGGAGTCGTCCGGGAAGGAGTCGTCCGAGAAGGAGTCGTCCGGGACGGAGTCGTCCGGGACGGTGGAGGTGGATTTGGAATTGGGTGTTGTGGGGGTTTCGTGGAAGCCTTTGTATGACTTCAGGTTCGACAGTGGGAGTACGAATGAGTGTTCTGTTGGTTACATTGCCAACGTCTTCCAGCAGAGTCAGATGGAGTTTGGTTCGGACACGATCATTTACCTGAGTACGACGGATAGCTTTAAGCGTCGGGAACCGGTTCTGGGTGGGAAGCGTTACGTGGACCTTCGGGTGGAGCAGCCGCCAGCAATGATGGCTCGGTCGAACCGCATGATGACAAGTCGGGTGATGAAGAAGAAGCGCGCGGATACCGTGGAAAGAGCGGAGGAGGAGTGTTGCGATGAGGTCACCGCAGACGCCGGCGCTACCGAGGAGAGAGAGGGTTTCGCTGATCGGCGACTGCGACTAAAGGCGGGCACTGTGCTGCGGCACAGCCCCGTGCCGCAGAGGGTGTATGTGGCGGAGATCCGTCTGCCGTGTGCGCTGTACCACCACGTAGTTCCCCGTAGCAAGCTGTGCGCGTACCGAGCGGGCTATATTCGGAATGAATCTGACTGGAGCTTACTCCCCAGCACCGCCAGCAGTGTGTACCTGGACAACCGTCTGTGCTGCGTGAGTCGCATCCACCGGCTCTGTGCGCCCGGTGATGAGCTCTGTCTCTACTTTGGCGTCGACCCATCAGTCTCGCTGTCCGTGCTGCATTCCCAAGACGCCGTGGTCGGTTCCACCGGAAGCTTCTTCACTGGCACGGGTCAGAAACAGAGTTCTCACTTTCGCTATCGAGTCTCCAACGACCATTCTGACCGTCCCGTTAAAGTGGTCTTCTCGCACGCACTACCTACAAGCAAAAATCAACAAGTTAAAGTCGTCGTAAAAGACACGCAAATCGCCAAAGACCTACAACGCCTCAAGAGCCAACCCCTTCGATCCCTCTCTTCACTTCGACCCACTCCTGACGGCACAACGACAAACACCGCACACGGCGTTATTGCCTACGACTCCGATGTGATCGCCGTTTACAAAAATCCCAATACCAGTTTCTTGTTCAACGATAAGTTTGGCTCCGTAATCGAACTTATTGACCTGCCACCGAAACAGTCCGCCGTCACCACCGGCCTCAGCTTCAAGATCGAATACCCCCTCGACAAAGAACTAGAAATTTTTAGTGCATGACCAAACTGAGCAGTATCACCATGCTCTTGGCTATCGCCGCCGCACCCACCAAGGAGGATACTTCCATCGGCGGTATCTACGCGGTCAATGAGATCAAAAGCACTGCCACCCATCCAGCACCACACCTTACCACTCGTACGTCTAACATGAGCACCCCAACACTATTTACACCCGCGACCTGTCGAGGTCACGGTCCCCTGTCCTGTACCCGGTCTCCTGTCCTGTACCCGGTCCCCTGCCCTGTATCCGGTCCCCTGTTCTGTACCCGGTCTCCTACCCTGACGTTAACTGGACTTCAACGCAGAACATGAGTCAGAACATGAGCGAGAACATGAGTCAGCTAAGAAGCCGTCTGTTTCCAAGATTGCGTGGATGACTAAGCGGGGGTCTGGCACGACGGCAGAGCGGGGGTCTGGCACGACGACAGAGCTGGGGTCTGGCACGACGACAGATCGGGGGTCTGGGAGTAGAGAACTGGACACAAGGTTACAAGTCACGGTTCCGAAGACGACGCAGAGTATTGTATACGACCATCTGCCAGGACCGACTGAAGTATACCCCACCGAGGCGGAGCAGCTGGTCCTGCTTACAACTGACACGTCGCCCGTCTCATCCGCCCCGCCCGCCTTTCCTGTGCCCGTTTCCGCCCTTACTGAAAGAACTATCATAGCATGCGGTGCTGCCGGGGCAGCCGCCCTAAGCGGAGCCATGACTTTCCTCTATGTCCGAAAGAGAAGAACACCCAGGGCCGCGCCGGAAGACCCGCTTGCCAACTACTCACTCATCGACGAAACTACGCCACAGGTTGCACACCCCAGACTTGACAACCTGTTCTAACCAGTCACGGCGTATTGTTACGGCGTACGTATCTATCCGCCACGACATATGTGTCACGAAATAGGGCCGTGGAGGGGTAGAGCATGGACATAACCGCCGTGAGCTCTGCCGGTCGTGGGGATATAGCTAACTGTATCGGAATATAGGTCGTGTATATACATTCTTATTACTGGTCATGAACAAGAGTATTCTTTGCGGCGTTCGCAACTCTCCCACACGATCATTCCCCCAACACGATCATTCCCCTAACACGAACATTCCCCCACACGGTCAGTCCCCGACGTGATTGATTGGTGTCTTTTTTGTTGAACAGGTCCCCCTGCGGTTCCGCCCCACCATCCCCCTGCGGTTCCGCCCCACCATCCCCCTGCAGTTCCGCCCCACCATCCCCCTGCAGTTCCGCCCCACCATCCCCCTGCAGTTCCGCCCCACCATCCCCTCACCATCCCCCTGCAGTTCCGCCCCACCATCCCCTCACATGCGATGAAAGAAGTTTCAACCCCGCCGCTGGTTTCCAAGGCCGTGTCAGTGAACTTGGGTTCGTTAAAGCCCGTGGTGGGAACGTTGTTGAAGAATGCAACGACGCAGTTGTCGCAGATTGCCGAACTGAACAATTTAATTGAGGAGCATGCCAACGTGCCGCTGTCTTCGCTGTCGGTATCCGACACGACCCCTTACCTGGGGGGACAGGCTTCAGACGAGGCTATGATGCACGCTGCACTGTCGGCTGCGAGCCCTCACTTCAGGCCCACGTCTCCAATGAAACTGTTTCATCAACCGGAGCAAGTCAAGCTGCAGTCACCATTGACTGAGCCAACGTTGACCAGGGACAGCGCAAGCACTGCTCTGGACCTCTCGGACCCCACAGCACTCCCGCCAGAAGACGTTAGCTTCAATCGGCGGTTTCCACCAAGCAGGCTTCCACCGAACTCGTTCCCACCAAGCAGGCTTCCTTCTCCGTACAAGACATCCCGAACATCGCCGTCAGTGAGAGCAGACGAAAACACGATGCCCGTAGAAAAGCGGGCCTTTCCGCTTACCCAACAAGTCAAGTTGCTCCAGCAAAAGAACGCTCGTCTGGCCCCGGAGCTTCGCGACCGGCGCATGTGTCCAGACTGCGGCCGCCGCGGGAGCGGGAGTCGCAGCCAAAACGGTGTCACCTACTTTTACTGCCGGAACTCCGCGTGCCTTGGCAAAGGGTCCTCAAAAGATCGGTTCATTGGGTGGGCCTTCGAAGAAAACACCAGGAGGGTTCCCGCAGCGCTCAGATAACAGACTTTCTGTCATGGGCAAGCTAGTCGTCATCGACGTGGATTTTACTCACGACCTGAGTTCTTCTGTTTATCTCTTGCTGAATATACTGCTTAAATGTCACCTCATTGAACCCGTAATTAAACCAAGCAGTAATGTCAGCACTCCCCCCACTCCGCCGATTTCCAGGCTTGTTCCAGCTTTTGTTAGTCGACAGTTCGTAGTTCAAAACGAGTCCTTGCTGACCTAACTGTTTCTCATTCGCCGGCGGCGGTGGCGGCGGCAGCATTCTTTAGTCAAAAGAAAAAGACAAGGATTCGCAACACGACAGTTTTTAGAGAGCGTTTTTACGACAATACAAACGCGCTAAAAAGTAGCACCTTTTTCTGATGGGCACAGGCGTGTTCGATGCGCGCGCGCGATCGATGCAGCCGGGCCGTGGCGGTGATCTATCGCCACATAGAGTCGAATTAACTGCGGGGAGAATGCCGGGCTAATAATAAATATATCCGAATCGGACCTCTATATTTATCGGCATGGAGGAGCAAGAGACTGCGGCTCAGCTAGAGGCGAAAGTTGTACCGACTAAGCAAGAGCCGGCGGAGTCTCTGAAAGCAGATGACGAATTGACGCGGCTACAGCAGATGACCGCGGATTCGAAGGTACATGAAGAAACGATGCATGAGGAGCCGCAGCAGGAAGAGGATGACACTATCAAGCGAAGTATCTATGTTGGTAACGTAAGCCACCCGTTTGCTACGTTGTTGCCTTGTACCGTTCACCCACTGTGCCGTTCACCCACTGTGCCGTTCACCCACTGTTCGCGACTTCCGGTGCCTTTTAGGTTGACTACGGCTCTACCCCGCAGGAGCTAGTTCAGCACTTTGCGTCGTGTGGCAAAATACAGCGAGTCACAATCATGGTAGACAAGATGACTGGCCACCCGAAGGGCTATGCGTATATTGAGTTCGCGGAAGAGGGCGGCGCGAGTTCGGCACTTGCGCTTTCGAACACCACCTTCCGGGACCGAGTGCTGAAGGTACTTCCGAAGAGAAAGAATATTGCCGGATATACCGCAACGGTCCGTGGCGGAGGGCGGAGGGCCGGCTATATGCCCATGTATGGAATGCCCTATGGCCCTGCGGCTACACTTAAGGGCTTCCACAGAGGTGGCAGGAGAGGCGGGATCAGGGGAGGGCCTTTTTAGCATAGATCAGCAGGAGGTCGAGGTTTCACGTTTTCAGCAAGTCTCGCCGATAGTATCTAGTTGTGGGTAAAAGTGACGGCATGAGTGAGGGCCGTGCGAGTCAACCTTCCGCTGAAAAAAGTCACGTATGTCTGCCCGGCCCGGCAACGGCACCGGTCTGACTTCAGGTGGGTGCACCAGCTTGGGCACCCACCTGAAGTCGTAGTGCTAGGAAGCCGTGCTGGAAGTCGTAGTGGGTTTCTTGGGTCGTTTAGCGGCCTGGCCTTCTGTATACGTGCGCACGGCGCTGGCGCCCTCCATGACGGCGTACTTGGCCAAGTCCCCCGGTAGCACCAAACGAACTGCTGTGTGGACTTCGTGCGAGCTGAGTGTCTCCTTCTTGGAGCTGTTGCACAATGTCGCTGCCTGACTAGCTATACGTTCGAAAGTGTCCGCCACGAAGGAGTTCATGATGCTCATCGCCCGCTTAGTTATCTTTACGTTTGGCCGCACCTGTTTCAGCACCTTGAAAATGTACGAGGTGTACGTCTCAGCGTTGGGAGATTTCTTCTTTTTCTTCTTCGGTGACGTGCTGCTTGCCACTACCGATGCGGAGGGTGATAAGGTCCGGCTGGCAGGGGTCAGGGTGGTGGGGTCAGGGTGGCCACGCTTACCAGTTGAAGTCGGGGAGGCGGCGGCCTTCTCCATTAATGGCAGCTTCCCTCTATCAGGCACAAGTGTGACCCATGCTCACTGTGCACCGCGCCGCGTCGTGTGGCGTCGTGGAGCGTCCACAGTCGTGTGTAGTGAGTGCATGTGTTCTCGTACCCCATGATCAGAAAGGTTTAGTAAAAAATTATTTCTTGCCCGCAAGTCGAACCACGTCTGTGTTGACGATTTCGAATTCTGGACACGAGCGCCGGAGGAAATCAATCACTTTGGTCACTGTGGCTGGCTTCTTGACCTTGGAACCGAGCATGGAGAGTCTGCAGGGTCCTTGTGCAGCCAGAATTTTTTTCAGTTCGCTTACATATTTATTCTCCGCCTCGCTCCGTCTCGGTCCGGTCATGCGAGCCACTTTGGCAGCCTTGGTCGTCGGGGACGCAGCAGGCGAAGACGTGGGCGACGCCCCGCGCGCAGATTTGCCTTCTGTCTTGCCGTGCGATTTGTTTTGTGATTTGATAACCTTGTGCAAAGACTTGCTTTTGGTGGACCGGGCAGCTTCTTGAACGACCTCCACATCCGAGCACGATGACGACGCTTCCTTGCTCTTGGAAGATCTTGGAACCTTGGACGTCTTCCTCCGCTTCTCGCCGGCCCGTCTCTCCGGGTCAGAAGAAACCGCTACATTCTCTCCTCCGTCCGAACCACTACCGGACGGACCCCCTGCCGACTCCACCTCTATCACCACGGCCGTATCATCCTTTTTCCTTTTTTTCCCCTCACCCTTAGATCCTCTACTTTCGCCATCACCCTTATGGTGATCTTCACCCTTGTGGTCTTCACCCTTGGCCCTCTCGCTCTTGCTCAACTTGCCTTTCTGCGGAGAGCGCACATCAATCTTGCTTGCCGGCTTTGAACTCTTCGTCTTCACCCGCGTCTTGAGAGTACTCTTCAATCGCCGGTTCTTGCTGCTCCCTTCAGCCTCCTCCTGCGCATCCGCCGGAGCCATTTCCTCAGCCACATGGCTATCCTCTGCCACAGGGCTATGCTCTGCCACAGGGCTATGCTCTGCCACAGGGCTATGCTCTGCCACAGGGCTATGCTCTGCCACAGGGCCATGCTCTGCCACAGGGCTGTCCTCTGCCACAGGGCTGTCAGTCAGACTCTGACGGTCGGCTCCGGAACTTTTGCGTCGGTCTCCGGAAACTTTGCGTTCTTCAGCCGGCACTTCTCCCGAAGTCCGGCGCTGTTCTCCGAGCGCTTTTTCGGCGTTGTTCTCCTCGTCATCCTCAATATCGAGAACCTCGGTTTCGAGTTCAGCCTCGCTGGGCGTCAGAGATTCCACCCCAGCTGGTGACTGAGCTGTGGGAGACTGAGCTGTGGGAGACTGAGCTGTGGGCGACTCACCACCTTCCTGACTAGTGACTGGTTCCTCCTCGCTGCTTTGGTCTTCTTCGCTGGATTTTGAGGGATCCTCCTCAATGACCATCACAGTAAGTTCATCTGCCTTGGCGGGGCTCGGCGGAGCTGGCTGATCGCGCGCAGTTTCCACGACGATCTCTGTTTGCGGTTCTGCCTCTGTCTGCGATCCCGCCTCTGCCTGCGATCCCGCCTCTGCCTGCGGTTCCGCTTCTGTCTGCGGTTCCGCCTCTATCTGGAGCTGCACCTGCGTCTGGAGGTCCGCCTCCGCCTCGATCACCCCCGTAACTTCTGCTTGGATCGCCTCCGCCTCACTGGTGTCGGGTTCCGATGGCGCTTGTTCGGATAGCAATTCCTCTACTTGTTCTTCTTCAGTATGGATCTGTTCTTCCACGGCTTCGCTGGCTGAATCAGCGTCAGCATTTTCCGCAGGGCTGTCTAGCACAGCGACGGCGTCCCAGCGGAAGTTTTTGTATTTGCCAGGTCCTTCAACAACGACTTGGACACGGTCACCACCGACGAAGAGCTTATTGGTCAGTAAGACAGACATGGTGTGGCACGGAATACAAGCAATGTTGTACCACTTGCCCTTCTTATAAAGCTGGACGTAAGCCCGATTACCCGCCGCCAGAAGCTCCGGCTCCCTCAAGACGATGCTCACTGTCTCGAAAAATTCCACTTCCGGACGGATCCTCCAAGGCTGATTCTTAACACAATTCACTCCGTAAAACGACGACGCAGACTCACCAGAACCCGGTGTCAAATCTCCACTCAAATGTACCACCACTCCGCGAGCAGCATATGCATCCTCATTCACGCTTAACAACCGCACCTCACTTCCAGGCAACACTACACAACTTAATTCGCTCTCCGCATAATCCGGAGTTAACCGACATATCGCATAAGACCCCTGTCCCGCACGAGGACACACCTCGATCAACCACTACAAGCAAAAGAGAGATCACAAGACGACGATGGTGAGTATCTAAGAACTCACAGAGGAGTGGCGTCTGTGTGCACACACGACCAAAGGCGGCCCACGGCCAAAGGCGGCCTACGGCCAAAGGCGGTCTACGACCAAAGGCGGTCTACGACCAAAGGCGGTCGACGACCAAAGGCGGTCTACGGTCAAAGGTGGTCGACGGTCAAAGGTGGTCGACGGTCAAAGGTGGTCGACGGTCAAAGGTGGTCGACGGTCAAAGGTGGTCTACGACTAAAGGTGCCAGGCCTCCGCAAGGGTCTGTCTATCTCTCCAGAGAGAATCTATCTCTCTGGGAGGGGGGACTTACTTGTGCGTTTTTGTTCGCTTGTGTCCATGACAAAACTGCTGTGTGGAGCTCAGCATACAGGAACGCTTCGCTGAAGGCTGCAGTCACTTGCGGGGTATCCGGAGTCAGCTCCGCCACATATACAAGGTCGTCCATCGGACTCGAAAATTATTTTAACGGTGGCGGGGGGGCCGGATGTGTGGCGGATCCTCGGCAAAAAGTCGCTGCCGGAACGAGTCACTGCCTGGGACGAGTCACTGCCTGGGATGAGTCACTGCCTGGGATGAGTCGCTGCCTGGGATGAGTCGCTGCTAGGGTCTGGTCGGGTGCTGCGTCTGATGCGGCCCGGTCGGTCCTGTCAGTGGGCTCTTCAGGGTTGGAGGGGGTCGTCTCTTCAGGGGGGCTTGTTTATATGGTCGGATCTAGAGAGGTCCTGGAAGTGGGTGCTACAGGGGGTTGTTCCATGGAGCCGGAGAGGTTGTGGACGAGTTCAGAGGCCTTCTCGACCGCGGTGGAGGCGGCGGCAGCTGCTTTTTGCGCTACTTCCGAGGCCTGTGCTTGGGCGTTTTGCCAAAAGTCGTCTTTTTGGACCGCTTCGACAGCGTCCTTACCTTTTTCTTGTAGCCAGGCTGCAGAGGTAGAAACGGTGTTAGTAACTTGGCCGACTACGCCCTCTTTGGGGATCTTGTCTATGGTTTGTTTGGCGGCCTCTTGAGCTTTGCTAGCCAACGCACCCAAGGCGCCGAAAGCCGACGTACTCCACGCGGTAAGCGTCTGCGCGGTGTTTTCGAGGGAGGCAGACCCGTTGCCTCCTCCGAAAGGAAACAAGCCCTGAGCTGCAGTGCCGCTCTCCACGGTGCCCATGCCCGTGGGACCTCCCATGCCCGTGGGACCTCCCATGCCCGTGGGACCTCCCATTGAGCCGGTGCCCATTGACCCGGTGCCCATGGGCGGTGCCGGGGTCGGGTCCGCCACGATTAAACTTCTCTGCCCCTCTTCCAGCGACGGCGCTTCCGGTGCAGGCTTGCCCTCCAACCGAGCCTTTAACGCCTGCCGGTAGTACTCAGCCGCCTTCGTGTTGTACTTGTTCCGGATAGGCAACGTATGAATCGCATACTGCTCCAACACCGCCTTCAACTTCGAATTGCCACCCAGCTCCATCGACACACGATGCTTCTCGGGCCAGTTATCCATGCCCACAGATTTCACAAAGGACACCTAACGAACAATTTGTCTGCAACAAGGTGGCCTAGCGACAGACCGGCCTGGTCAGGACAGGTGGCCTACCGAGGGTCAGGGTCAGGAGGGTCAGGACAGTAAAGGTGGGGAACATTTACTTGGACGCCGAGGCTTCTATGGACGCCGGAGCACATAAGGCAAATAAAGGCGCCGTTGTTGACCGAGGTCCATTGCGGGTTGGCGGCCCCACAGTCGACACAGTTGTTGTTTGCGGGATCGGCCGTGCGCAGCTGCTTGAAGAATTCAGAGGCCTGCATTTCGAAAAAAATGCGATTCGGCAACCCCATCTTGGCCGAGCCTCAGGCCGGCGCCTCTGAGCAAGTTGCCTCCTTTGTACAGACGCCGCTAAAACCGAACCGAGCCTTTACTATCAACCCAACTCCGGCTACCTGCTACCCTCAAACCGGGTCTCCCGCGACCGCGATAATCCCCGGCACGGTCACCCCCCAGACCGCCTTTGCGATAACGCTCTCGCCCACCTCGGGTGAACCCAAGTCTACTTGGGACCGCTCTCAACACCACTCCTTGGACCGCACCCTGAGCAGTCAGACCCTAAGGAGTCCCCCTCCGGGGACTGCTTTGATGCGGAATCCCCCGATGAGGGATCACCCAATAGGAAGCCCCCCAATGGGCAGTAATGCATTCAGCCGTACGTATGCCTCTCTTGGAACCAGTCCGCTGGGCGGCAGTCCGCTGGGCGGCAATACGCTGGGTGGCAGTCCGTTGAGAAGGAGTCCCTTGGAAAGGGGGGAAAGGGGAACGTTGGAAAGGGGGTCGTTAGACAACGCGCCCGTGCCGCGGTCTGTTGAGACAACCGGTCCTTTCTACGATGCTTCCTACGGTGCTTCCTACGGTCCTTCCTACGTCTCGCCGAGGTCCTTCCGGACACACCCGCCGCTGACGACCCCGCTTCTCACTCCCTTGTCGGAGTCGGTGGTTGCCAGGATCGCGCAGGGCTCGGCGGTGGAAGGGCAGACAAGATGGTTGCATTCCGTTACCTCCGAGCCTTTGACCGAAACTTTGGCTGCTTCTGAGTCTTTGGCTGCTTCTGAGTCTTTGGCTGCTTCTGAGTCTTTGGCCACTTCCGAGCCTCTCGCTAAGCCTTTGTTTACTTTCGAGCATTTGCCTGTCCCTTTGGTTACTTCGGATCCTTTAGCTAAGCCTTTGGTTGACCCTGAGGTCTTAGTGGCCTCCGAGCCTTTGGTTACGGCTGAGACCGCCGTGACCCTGGCAGCGGAGAGTAAGAACTCAAGTCAGAACTCAAGTCAGTACCCGAGGACTAGTGAGTCCTCGAGCTCTTGGTCAGCCAAGGCCTCTTCGCCGGCTCCGTTGTCTACTCGAGCTCTCGCGTCTCACACAAGTCTGCTGGCCGCCCAGCCGTTCGTGTGGGCCTCCTCCTCAGGAGACAAACTCCTCCGCAAAAGCCTGTCTCCGAGTACCGCCGCCCCCTTCGCCGAGGATACCGCCAGCTACTCCGTACGAGCCATGCCCTCGACCACACGTCTGCGATCGCCGCCCGCCGTGTACAGGTCGTCGTCCACCTCTCTTGTGTCGCCCTGGACAGCGTGGACTAGTCGAACCTCGGCCGTCGCAGACCCGACGAACGACTTGACCACCGCGAACCGAGGGAGCGCGTCGCCCCCTTTCAACACCGCACGCGTGGTCAGGACTCTCAGTAACGCCGCCACCCCCGCGCCTCTCGCGGCTAGGCCGAACTCGCCTCTCTTCGACCGGCAGAGCACAGGTATCCAGAGCACAGGTATCCAGAGCACAGGTATCCAGAGCACAGGTATCCAGAGCACAGGTGCCCAGAGCACAGGCGCCCAGAGCACAGCCATCCAGAACACAGGTATGCAGAGGCCTGCCGTAGGTGAAAGTCTCGGCACGGACTTCGGAAGGGTAACTACGACGGTGGTAAAAACGAGCAGTCCTACTTGGGGCCGGGCGGTAGACGAGAGCCGCTCTCCACCCTCGCTCAGCACTCCGGAGTGCTCGTCCGCACGCCGATTCACGTTCGTGACACATCCCTTGACTTTGTTCGAGAACGCCTCGACACCCCTTGAGTCTCCGATGAACTCGGCGAACTCGAGATGGGTAAATGTATCTCCGCAACATACAAGCACTCTTCTATACACCACGGGCATTTGCAAACCCGGTGGCAACGAATACGCCTCGGTGGTCCTGGGTCCCGACCGAAGAGACCAATTCCTGTTCGTGATTAAACCCCAGGACTTCGGCGCTCAGGAAGACTTTGGCACCCAGAAAGACCTTGACTTTGGCGCTGAGCCCGCTGTTGCAGTTCCAGCACCTGCCCACCAGTGCCCAGGACTCGGCCAAATTGTATCGAATACACACAACTCGTACGGTGGTCGTGGTGACCCCTTCAGCACGTCCGAAGAGCCAAGGCCCCAAGAGCCAGGGCCTGAAGACCCAACACCTGAAGACCCAACACCTGAAGACCCAACACCTGTTCAAGACCCAACACGTGTTCAAGACCCGAGATGTCAGGAGCCCACACCCGAAACCCTGTTTTCCAGTAGGGCTGAAGAGGAAGACGGGCCGCTTTGCAGCCTCATCAGTGAGGAGGATATTACGGTCCCGGAGATAAATTTCCGGAACCGTCAGTTGTCAGACCAGCCTCCGTCGGAGCAAGGCCGATCCTCGGCGCATGCAACGGCCACCGTGGGCGACGGAATGTCATCGCAATATTGCGCGGTTACCGAAGAGAGAGCCACGGAGGGAATGTCGTGTGCCAGTGAGGAGGCCCTGACTGGGTTGGCCCTGACTGGGTTGGCCCTGACTGGGTTGGCCCCGGCTGGGCTGGCCCCGACTGGGCTGGCCCCGACTGGGTTGGCCCCGAGTGAGCAAGTCTCGAGTGAGCAAGTCTCGAGTGAGCAAGCCCGGGCAGAGGTGACGACACGGGCAGAGGTGACGACACGGGCAGAGGTGACGACACCGGCAGCGGCGGAAATTGTTTCTGGATACGTGGATCGTGGCATGGCGGGTGAGCTTGATTTGGAGGGAGCCTTGAACGGAGGCACTTGGGTGACGTCTGAGGGTGGGGTGGAATGCAGCCGTCCTTTGATGGACGCCCAGAGCTGGGGCGTGGCGGGTTACCGAAACCAGACTATCGGTGTGGGAGGCGACCTGTCAGACGAGTCTGACGCCAGACAAGACTCCCTGTACCACAAGACGCCTGCTGTGGTGAACCGTGAGTGTTATGAGGGTACAGGCACCCGCACCCACAGCCTGGTCAGCAATGGCCCGGGTAACTACGGCGCGGCCGAGGGTAACTATGGCGCGGCCGAGGGTAACTATGGCGCGGCCGAGGGTAACTATGGCCCGGCCGAGGGTAACTATGGCCCGGCCGAGGGTAACTACGGTCCGATGGGGAATAGGTACGTTCCGGTGGGAAGCAGTGGTGTGGTACCAGGGAGCCTCTTGTCACGGAGCCGCCTGGGCTGCAGCAGTTCGCAGACGGTGTTGAGCCTGTCGAACATGAGTGACGGTTTGGTCTTGGCGAACCCGGTGGTGAACTCCACGCCCCCGGCAGCGCCCGTGGCCCGGAGCGGGCCCGTGGGAGTGCCGGTGGAGTGCGACCGGGCCGCCTTGTTGGCCGTGGTCGAGGCCTTGAGGGCCCGCGACTGGACGCAAGAAGGCTTCTCGAGGCTGGTGCTAGCGACGGACAATAAATCAGTCATCACTGGCGCCTGCGACTGGCTCGAGACATGGAAGAGCACCCAATGGATCAATTGCACCGCCAACCGCCATCTCTGGCAACAACTCGACCAACTCATTTCGAGCTACAGCGCACACAACATTCAAGTCGAGTTCTTCCACATCCCGAGGGAATGGAATGAACTCGCCCTCAACCTGGCCACTAACAAACTATACCAACTGACCAACTGACCATATGCCATACGCCACATGGACCGCCCATATGGACCGCTCTCGAGTCATCACATTGTCTCAGCAGCAGTTTTACCGGAGATTATTTTTAAGATATTTTTTGCGTAGATTCCGCCGCTGACTATTTCCCACCAGTCCGCGGACGGTCCTGCGGCGTTGTGGTTTGATTGACCGTGGGGCGCCCCACAACGGGCTGCGGGTTGACCACTGGGGGGGACAGCTGGTCGCGTTTGAGGCTTATATTTCTGGTAGAAAATCGTTGATAATGTCCACAGTTGCTTCGCCGGTGTCTAGCATGATTGACACCTCGATGACTTGCGGCGTGGGCGCCGCGGGTGTGACTACAGTTGAGAAGTTGCAGGAGTTGCAGCTTTTGGAGTCTTACGTTCGTTACATGGCATTGGATATACCGATGTTGAATGCTGCTAAGAGTGAGCGTGAGTGGGATTGGTTTTTTCACAAGCTGGAAGAAGGGTTCATGGTGGCTGATGTTACCAATGATCAGATGAAGCGGAAGTTGGCTAGAAGGTTCATGCGTGGGCGTCAATTGGCTGTGTGGTGTGAGTTGTCTTCCGAGGTTGTTGGGAGACAGCCTTTGAAAGGAGAGGGTGCTGCAGCTAGCGAATGTACCACACAAGGCGAAAGCACGACACAAGGCGAAAGCACGACACAAGGCGAAAACACGACACAAGGCGAAAGCACGACACAAGGCGGCGCTAAGACTACCACATACGAGAGCATTCGTGATGAGATGTACCGCAAGTTCTTCCCGCACTCTGAGTACTTTGATTCCCTGTTGGAACTCTACTCTGGCCATCGCGAGGTGGAAAGCGAGGCACCCAGACGGAAGATGTCCTTGATTGGTGTCAAATCTGTCATAGGAATTGCAAAAGAGACCATGCAGAGAGTGGCCGTTCGGTATGGTCGTGATATGCCCCCTGAATCTTACTGGCTAGACTTTGCCGAACGCTTAATGACACCTGGTGTTAAAGAAGTATTCGACTCTCAGAAACATCAGATGGCTGATACCATGCCCATCGAGGAAATGCTCAGCCTGATCAAAGATCCAAATGCCCGAACTCTAAGAGCGCCGCACAAATTTAGGAAAGGCGCACGCAGGAACAATAAAAAAAAGATGACCACTACAACAACAAACAGCTCTATCACCAATAACGAAAATTAGAGGCAAATTTTTTATTTATATAGACTCGATATTCGGAACAGTTTTTTTCAGTTAACGAACGAGACACTCAAAAAATACTCACCCTCCTCCTCCCCCTCCCCCTCCTCCCGAATCAATGGAGTGGTTGGCGGAGTGGTCAATGGAGTGGTTGGCGGAGTGGTCAATGGAGTGGCGGAGTGGTCAATGGAGTGGCGGAGTGGTCAATGGAGTGGTCACGCTAATTACATCTAGGGCGGTTAGTGTGTATGGGCAATCTAGAATTTGAGAAAATGATACTGATTCATTTTCTTTAACCTTTAATATTGAAACTTGTCCTTGCTGTAGGCAAAATATTATGTTAGCCAGAAGGCCTTCTCCAGGATCGAAAGCTTTCATTAACTTAATCCTGGATTGCTCAGGAATATCGATCTCTACCCATTCTTCCACGGAAAATAAATCATCAGAAGTCTCTTCCTTGCCAGACCCACGAGGAGATGACGAGTCCCCAGAGGAAGAAGAAGAATTTCGTCGTCGCTTTTTGCGAGGATGCTCTTTACCGACCGGCTCTTCTTCCTTCGATTCTTTGCCGATCGGTTCTTCGCCGACAGGTTCTTTGCCGACCGGTTCTTTGCCGACAGGTTCTTCTTGCTGCTCCGATTCTTGCACCTCCGGCTCTTCTTCCTCCTTTGATTCTTGCACCTCCGATTCTTGCACCTCCGGTTCTCGGTCGTGAATATGTTCCGATCCTTCTTCCTCATTATCCGACCCTTGTTCCCCCGGTTCTTGGTCCTCGGGTTTTTGTCCGTTATTTGTCTCATCATTACTGTCGTCATGTTTGTCGCTCTTGGCCCTTTGCGGAGGTAATAGCTTATAGAGGGAGATGGTACCTTTATTGTCTCCGACGCAAATGAGTTCTTCATGGATGCTTAGAGATGTGAATTGTCGTCCAGACTTTGCGGTAATAGTCTTGGTAAGGCCAGTGTGTATTTGTATGACTTTGAAAATACCCTTTGACAGTATGAGTAGGTAGTTACCTTTGGAAGCCCACGCAGCGTCAATGGCTCTTAGCAATCCGTGTTCGGGTTTTCTGGAGGCCTTATGGATTTTGGCTAGAGGGAGTTTCTTTTCAATGTTCCACAGCCACACTGAACCGTCCAGATACACACAGGCATAGAGACCTCCAAAGTGTGTGTTCAATGCAACCCGGCAGATATCGCTTGAATGTGTTAAGGGCTTTCCCTTATCATTCCTCTGACCAAAACTAGTCGTAAATACAGGCTTCCGAACCGTATACTGGTGCACCTCAACCGTCCCGTCACAAGCAACCGTCGTTACCATACCGCCCTTCCTCCGAGCACCACTCTTCATCCCAACTGACTCACTCGACCATTGCTGACTGAAGGCACCCGCACAACCTCGAGCACCTACTATCAATGTCTCAACCTCTTCAGAAACACAGTCACAAACACAACATGACTCATCAGACGCACCTGTTACCAATGTCGCCTCATCCACCCAACTTAAATATCGTAACGCCCCCTTGTGTACCACACCACCATAATACTCCTCTAACTCCAAACTCTCATCATCAATCTTGTATGTCAAAATTCCTCCATCGTACGTACCCAACGCCAGCTGAAATCTGCCCATAGCCTCCAGAATTGATTTATTCCCCCCAAATCCATAAACCCCGGGCCCCCTTCCCACCTCCCCACTCAGCTGGGTTTGTGGGAGAGGAAAACACCTCCGTGCTGTTCCTTCTATGGAAGATGACTCCTCGAAGGTTCCTTCTGCTCACTGAAAAAACACACTGCGAAAAGCACAGCATCCGTCATGCCGAAGCAGTCTTCGCCGTGTTCATGGTTATTTCCGTCAATCTCTGGATCGTCCACCTTGTGTCGAAATCGAGGGGTCGAACAAGAAGTCGCTCGACCCGAACTCGAGACGATACGAGGTGTTGCCTTGGTATGAGGTGTTGCCTCGGTACGAGGTGTTGCCTTGGTACGAGGTGTTGCCTTGGTACGAGGTGTTGCCTCGGTACGAGGTGTTGCCTCGGTACGAGGTGTTGCCTTGGTACGAGGTGTTGCCTTGGTACGAGGTGTTGCCTCGGTCGTTTATACGAACGGGGTTAAGGAGAACCTTTGACTTGCCATCCGACGATCCGGTCAATTGCTTGACTCGGACATTCTTCATTGTAACAAATGTAAAGCACGGCCGTTTCATGCACCCACTGTGTGCCCTCACTACCACATTGGGGACAGACGCGGTTCTCTGCCGCACCTTTTTTCATACGCTGTAAATGTGCTATTATCGCCTGACCTGAGGGCGCCTTGGACTTGATCGCATCCTGCCATGCCTGCGCTGCCTTGGGGGCACTGGGTTTTGCCGGCACGGGGGCCCATCCAACAAAACTGATGGAGCAAGGATGAAAGGAGGAAAGAGGGAGGGGTAGTTACTTATTGTTATATTTGCCGTGGCAACCTGTGGTGGTGCATTGGAAGATATGTATTGGGATTCCTGCGTTCTCTGACTGAAGAGTCACTTCCGCGGTTTGGCCACATTCAGAGCAGATTTTCAAGTTCTCGGTAGTTTCATCAAGCGGTAAGGAAGGAGGAGCTGGTAGCGGTAGGGGCAGGACGGTCTCTGACTTGACTCTTTTGCGCCGTGACCTCGAGTCTCCATCTAGAGACTTATCCGCCAACAAAGCCAATTTCCAGGACGAAGCAAGACGTCTTTGTTCGGCTACAGCCTCGTCATAGAAAGACCCTACGGTCAATGTCTGGGACTTGATGACGATGTATAATGCTGCCTCGAAGTCGTTATCAAACTCTAACCCATTCACCACAAACTCCGATTTAGCCATCAATATCAACAGGGGAATTTTGATACGACAACCTGCCGGGCAAGGGATAGTAGGGAAAGACGACTCCATCCAGCCAGAGGGAAAGACGACTCCATCCAGCCAGAGGGAAAGACCATCCAGCCAGAGAAAGAACTTCGGGAGGGAAGTTCGGGAGGGAACTTCGGGAGGGAACTTCCGGAGGGAGTGGGGGAGGGAACTTCGGGAGGGAAGTTCGGGAGGGAATGGGGGAGGGAAAGAGGCACACACACCAAACGGGGAACACGCGCTAAACGGGGAACAAAATATAAGAGGAAATGTTGGGCGCGGCGGATAATGGCTGGGCACAGTCATTTGGGTTCGCCTTTGAACAGAATATCGCTAATGGCAGCTCGGTCAATTCACTTTACTCGCCTTTTAGTACAGGTGAGACCTGACCCAGTGTGACCTCTAGACCCAGTGTGACCTGACCCAGTATCAAGCCAAAGTGGTCGTCAACCAGAGTGGTCAAAATTACATCTTGCTTCAGGGAACGAAAAGAATGTATGCCGGTCACTGATGATTGGTCAATATCTAAGAAGCCGGCGTAGCGAGGACAATCGGTTGGTTATTGATGGACTGGAGATACCGACCTTCTCGATCGTGGGAATTGCTAGCGAAGCAGAGGTGGTGGTCGACGAAGGTGGGGCGAGCCGGTTCGTCTTCAAGGTGGAAGACGGTACCGGGCAGGTGACCGTAGAGTGGGTCCGTGGTTTGGCCGACTCTGAGTACGTGCAGTCGAAGGGACTTAAATTTGTCCAGGCACTGCAACAGGAAAACCTGTACGTCAAGTGCTTCATTGAATCCTACCAAATCAAAAGCGAACTGAAGGCCGTGCACTGCAAGATAGTGGAGTCCTATCACGACGTACTGAGACACATACAAGACGTAGCCTTGACGCATTTGCGGACCACGAAGCAAACAACGCACTAAGTACGTCATACACTTGATTGTGCGGTACACACTTGATTGTGCGGTACACACTTGATTGTGCGGCACCGAGAGCAGTGACCCGATGAGTGGCAGTGTTGGAGTCGTGGGTAGCTAGGGTTTTTTCTTTTTGATACAGACGTCAGGCAGTGAAAATACTGAGACTTGATATGTGTGATTCTTCTGTGTGCGTCCAGTGATACCAAGGGACCAGTCGTAGCCGGTTGCGACAGCAAGTAGTCTACCAGAAGGGTGAAATTTGACTTGAGTGATGGCGGAGGACTTTTGTTTCAGGAGCCCGGTTCTGGCCTTGTTATCTTTATCCCAGAAGAGGACGTAGCCATCACCGCCGGCTGTGGCGAATGTTTTATAGAGGGGGTTGAAGTCGACGGAATTGACACAGTAGATGTTATTTTCTTCGACGTTGGTCGACACGGTCGAAGTGACCTGACCCGCGTCCGTCAGACGGTGGCATCGGAACGTGAAATCCGAGTTCGACCGTTGGAAATTGACTATGCGCACACGACCTTCCACACCACCCGTCGCTAATGAGGTTAGATCCGGGTGTAATGACACCGTGATGAACGGATAGTTGAACGACGTCATGTGCACATCCGTAGGATTCGAACGCAGATCATTCAGGTTGTATGTGTACAACCGATGATTCTCACACATCACACTCAATACGCTACTCTTCAAATCACCATCCACCGGCGGACTTACCAACTTAATTGTGTGCATCAACTGACCCGTCTCGTAATTCCACCACTTTATCGCACTATCCAATCCGATCGATACCACACACCTGTTACCTGTATCTAAGCGGACCCTCTTTATCGCAGCCTCATGCTACCACACAACACGTTAAGATATACGGGGCAACTACTATTATCATCATGGTGATCAGGGAACCACCACCATCATGAGGGGGCAATCACCACATGAACCCATCCCCATAAAACTTACCTGACCAAGCTGGCTCAACTCGCCATTCGGCAGCTTCATCAACATTAATCGCTTGTCCAATGTTCCAATGACAATACCTTCACCCTGAAAAAAACATACGAGCTTTTAACCACAGCGGATCCAGCACAGAGCAGAGTGTGTTGGCTATGGGGCACCAGTCATTGGGGGGGGGTGGAAACCAGTGTGTGCAAACCGGTGCGTGCAAACCAGTGTGTGCAAACCAGTGTGTGCAAACCGGTGTGTGCATACGAGTAAGAAACAGCAGCATAGAGCAGGGGAGCCCACGTTGACTTGAAGTTTTCCTATGGCTTGCATTTGCGTCGGCCTCGGGTCCTCAGCATCTGAGGAAGCAGTCGGACCCGGGGTGGGGTTTAGGGTCAGAGGCTTGTTCGTCTGCACCTCCCACACCGTCACCGACCCGTCCCAGGAAGTTGCGGCCAGCAGCGGGAACGAATTCGGATTCCAATACCAATCCATGTCACTCACAGTGTCACTGGGGGATCCTGGACACTGACATTCTATCGCCTCCGGAGCAGTTGACGTATTATACATTTTAATTCCGACTAACAAAGATTTCCCGCGATAGCCACCCCCGCCTATGTGATCGCCTGGAAGGCCGGCTACCAAGGCCCACCATCAGAGCTAGCATGGATACAAATATAAAATATCTGTATGACGAAGACGGGTAGTGAGACCTGTTTATGATGGCGGGTAGTGAGAATTGTTTATGACGATGGGCAGCAAAGACGGGTACTGAAGAGTGGCTGGTTGGTTGAGAGCAGTTGGTAAGTGAAGAAGGTCAACGAAGACTGGTTGCTCAGAAAGATCGGTCGCGTGATTAGCGGGAGTCGGAAGCATGGCCGTGCGATGCGCGTTCGTCGTGGTGCACCTAACCATGAATTCGGTCACCAAGCCTCCGAAAAGCCCCTCTAAGCCAATGGCCGGCAAAGCCGGAGCCAAGAAAGCGCCTCCCGCGCCCGCCGCCGAGTCCAAGGCGGCGAATCCGCCTGCGGTTAAGCCCCCCGCCAAAGGGGGCCCTGCTGCAGGTGCAAGCAAGGTCTCGAAGCCGCCGGTTAAAGCGTCACCTGCCGCGACCGTCGGGCCTGTTGGGGCTAAAGGGCCTGTTGGGGCTAAAGGACCTGTTGGGGCTAAAGGACCTGTTGGGGCTAAAGGACCTGTTGGGGCTAAAGGCCTTGTTGGGGCTAAAGGTGAGAACCTGGAGCCGAAGCAGGTGGCTCTGAAGCCGGCTACGAAACCGGTTGTTGGGGGTGGCGGCAAGGCGGTGGTGGGGGGTGAGTTAGGGGGCGGGGCATTGGAGAAGAACCCGTGGTTGATGGACGGGTTGAAGTGGGACATTGATTTGCTGCGTGCGGATATCGGAGCGGAGTGGGAACGGAGTGTGACAGAGTTATCGAAGATGGCGAAGCCATGGCAGTTACGAAGTCGGTTTGGTTCATTGGCTGGTGCAAGTAAGACGGGTATAAATTTGATAGTAGCTTCGCACGTGTTGGATCAGATAATTGGGAGGCTGCGGGCTGATTGGAGGCCATTGGTGCTGCGGGACAATCCCAAGTTGGAGTCGGTACCGGACCGGACATTGGCTTTGCATAGTGAGTTGTGGCGGCAGGAAAGGCCGGGTCTGATTTTGCGCCCTATCACTTGGTTCCATGAGCCGCGTGAAGTTTACATCAAGTTTGCTTACTATTTGAGAGGGCCGGAAGACGTGTTGCCACCACGCAAACCTTTGCCGACCAAACGTAAGCGGCAATATACCAAGTTCTTGAAGGAAGATGTGGCCGCCATTCAGCAGGCTATAATGGAACATGCACTTAAACCTCGAGCGGCCGACGAGGCAACTCGAAACCAAGAGCAAGCTCCCGACACTTCCACCACCAAAGTTATCGGCAAGACCGTACCCGCAAAGGAAACCATTGCCGAAGGTCTAAAACTTGGCGCACTGAAACTTTCACCAGACATAAAACTTACCTCACTACAAATAAAACGAGCTGGCGAATCAGTCAGCGCCAGCGTTCGAGAAACAGCACCAGAACATGCAGCTGAAGAAGAGGATACCGCTAAACAAAAATGGAAAGTTATCGAATCCAAGGTCGCTGCTAAGAAACACGTTCAACAAAAAAAGATCGAAGTAGCAGCACCCACTCTCAAGAAAATACAACTAAAAATGAAAGGCAAAAAGACGACTGTAGCCAAGGCACCCACCAGCCCACGCAACAACAGCCCACGAAGCAACAACGAACAACCAAAAACACTAAGTCCAAAAAACAAAGGACCAAAAATGCTTGGACCAAAAACACTTGGAGCGGATACCGCCAAAACAACTGGAATGGAAGCCACAGGACCCAAAATCAAACCCAAGATGGCACCAGCCAAAAAGGCGGGCAAAGCCGGATAGTTCTTCCACATGGAGCCGGTGTGGTTCTGACGCTTGAATTCTTGGAACAGGGATTCCTGAGGGGTCGGTCCCTGTTCCGACTGACTCTTTCGGGCCCGTCTGTCTCTTTCGAAAGTTATTGTCCGTGAAATAAATCTTGGGCCCTGTAAACACTTTGCTGCGAGGTGGCCGGCACGCGGAATTTTTTGGGGCTATGTTTAATGGATCCCACCGGCCCGATATTGAGTACCCTTCTGGGTCTGCATGGGGCTCATAGCTATCGCGACATGCTGAGGGAAGGTGGCTTGTCGGAGCTGCCACGTGGGAAGGACTCGTTGGACACGGGGGTGGCGCCGATGGCGGGGGTATCACCCACGGGCAGGGCGGCCTCGCCTCTGACAGGGGCGGCCTCGGCTCTGACGGGGGCGGCAAGTCTGGGCTCGGCGTCTGTGGCGGAACCGGCTACGGAGGCAAACCGAGAGCGGGAGTTGGAAGACATGTTTGTGATGGGCGAGGAGTGGGAAGACGACGAGGCGTTGCTGCAGTTCGGCCAGCGTCCGAGGCGGTCGCAGGTGGAGTTGGCGTCTTACTGTCTGGAGAGCCGGTTGCTGCGACATGTAGGCAATGTGATGCGCGATCTGCCGTATCGGATTCCGCTCGAACGTGTGTGCACGTGTCTGTTGAGCTTCGTGCGAGCGCGCGGCCGGCGCATCGTTAGAGCCTCCGCGGCCAACAAGTGGGCTGTCGTGGCAACCTACGTCGAATCACTGGACGCCGGGTATGCCTGTTTTCCAGAGGAGTTCGCCTTCTATTGCAAGGCAAGGATGATCCGCTTCCGTGCGGCCGTGACTCAATACTGCCAGCAGCTACGAAGACCCCCGCCCGCTCCACCCACTCTCCAGGCCTACTGTCTCGCTCTCCTGGAACGATACCAGACGTACTTCAAGCGCATACGCTCACAGCAAATCGCCCGCAAAGAAGAACGGAAAGCGGAAAGAAGCAAACCGCCACAGCTGGCGCTGAACCTGGGTACCGAGAGACAAACCGGCGGCCAGGTGGCTCTTGAAGACCGCCTGGCTCTTGAAGACGTACCGGCCTTCGCATGCGGTCAAGGTCCACAGAAGTGGCAACCGCGAAGACAAGATTGCGAAGAACGCGAACCCGCGACGCATGATTCCGAACGAGAAACCCCTCTGGCTCTGACTGACGATAGCGGACACACGACTTCCACCGCCTGTTCCGTCGGAACCTGTTCTGTCGGAGGCTCGCGCGAGTCGTCCCGGGCCTCATCCCTTGTAAGTCAGGGGTCGTCGCGAGCGAAACGGACTGCGCCTCCGTTGAGACAGCTGCGAGTCAAGAAGAGGACGTGGAACCCGCGTCCACTGGAGTCATCGGCGTATGCAAATCTGGCCCGTGACCTGTCGTCCCCGGTCGCATCGGGACTGACCCCTGACCCCGCCCCTGCACCTGCCTCAATTAGCCCCGCTTCAATTGACCCGGCGTTCATATTCCACAGCATCGAGGACATGTTCCGGAGTGAAGACGAGACGTCCAGCTCGCGTCGCGCTGAAGAGCCCGCCGATCTGCCGGACATGACTCGGTCGGCCATGCTGGATTTTGAGGACATGTTCCAGACAGCCGAGCCGGGCGAGGCAGAAGACTCGCATTGTTTATTATTCAAGCAGGAGTCCAGCGACGAATATGGTGAAGAGAATTTTGGTCCGACTAACGACGCATCCGATCCCGCTCCGGAGGGAGACCAGAGTCCACCGCTAGACCGTAGTCGACCGAGGTCCGGGACAAGTTTGCCAACCGAGCTGGAGACCGATTGGGTGACGATGGAGGCCGACCGGGGTACCAGGCTGGCGGCGACCAGCCTGGCGACGGTCTCAGGAGATGCCGTTTCAGGAGATGTCGTTTCAGGAGATGTCGTTTCAGGAGATGTCGTTTCAGGAGATGTCGTTTCAGGAGATGTCGTCTTTGGCGATGCGTTCGAAGATATGTTCGTGGACACCGTCGGCGAAGTCCAGGGCGGGGAGGTTATGCAATGGGATGAGCTGGCGGGATTCGCAGCCGAAGACGTGGATGCGGCTGAGGAGGAAGCATATATTTTGACGGCGCCCGAATTGGCCGAGTTTGCGGTCTGGCGCCAGTCCGTGATGGACTACGCTGACTCCCTGACCGCGCTGGTAGAACAGACAACTGTAGTGACTCTGTACCGGGCTGTTCTGGCGTTGGTGCTTTGCGGTAAATTGCGCGGCGTCCTGATTGCGCGGTACACCCACGTGTGCGCGATGCTTGGGTTGCGCGCCAGGACCATTAACCAGTACATGGCTAAGTTGAAGCGAACCAGTCGCGCAGCCATTTGTGCTGGCAAGTCCCCGGTATCCGCTGATGGTCCAGGCCTAGCCCAGCTGTCTATTTTTTCAAATCACCATCGAAACATGAGATATGGCCGAACATGAAGTACTGAGATTTGTTTCCGATTTCCCGCATCAAAGGTACAAGCAAGGAAAGAAGGGCAGAGGAAGGAAAGAAGGGCAGGAAGGGAGCAGAGCAAGGAAGGGAAGGAGGGGTCGGCGGTGAAGGAAGGGTCGGCGGTGAAGGAGGGGTTTCACATGGTTGCGTGGTAGGTGCGAAGTGGATGGTGGTCATGGTGGGTGGGGCAGTAGTCCGACGGACGAATCTAAGCGGCTGCAGGTAGTGCGGGAAGAGTTGTTGGACGAGGAGGGGCCAGGTTGCGGAGTATTGCCAGCCGAGGTGGTTACGGCGGAAGTGGCTGCGGAGGCAGCGGAAGAGTGTGGACGACGACGGACGCAGAGTGTGGAGATCACAACGGCTAATGGCGAGACGGAAACATTGGAGCGTCGCGACGCGATATTGCGAGCAGTGACGGAGGCTACATCGAAGGTGCATTTGATTTCATTGGGCGCGAAGCTGGTTTCATTTATGGGGCTGAAGAACCGGTTGATTCGGAAGAGTGCATTCTTTCCACCTAGTCCGGAGTCGTATAGGTTCGTGACGTTGCCCCCGACGGCGACGAATGCGTTGATGAAGCCTCCGACGAGTGCGGACAAGATCTTGGCGGAAGAGTGTGTCCTATTCCTGCGGACACACGGCCATAAAGAGGGTACAACGGAGGCGGGAAGTATGCTGGCTGCGTTGCCTGCCTGCAAGCTGCGCGTCGCGGCCTTCCGACTGCGACGAGTGGCGGACGGTGACATGACCACGGCAGCACTGCTGCTATACAAACCGATCTACAAGTCGGAGGCTGTGTGCGATGAGACCCGCGCCGATATGCTCACAGACCTGCAACTACGCCCGCTGCTAATCTTCTCGCACGGCAATAGCATCGACATCGGCTATCACCTCATGTCGCTTGTGCAACTGGCCACGCGTCTACATGTCAACGTCCTCGCCTACGACTACCCTGAGTACGGCCTGAGTCGGGGGAAGCTGACTGAGAAAAACATACTCAAGGCCTTCCGCGTCGCCTATGACTTTGCCAGACAACGACTCAAGGTGCCCCGGACCATGATCTTCCTGTACGGACAGTCAGTAGGCAGCGTACCCACCTGCTACGGCGCCGGTAACCCCGACCAATTCAATTGCTGCGGAGTTATTTTACACGCGCCACTTGCTAGCGCACTCCGTATCGTTGCACCTTCCACCAAAAAGAGCATCAGCACTTCCGACGTTCTCGACAACAATAAACGCATCGGCAACTGTCCTTGGCCCATACTCATCATCCACGGCTGCCACGACGACGGTGTACCCCCCTGGCACGGGTGCCAACTCGACCGCACAGCCAGAGACATCTCGAAGTAAGCCCCCCATCAACCCCCACTCTACTCACTTTCCTCCTTAGCGCGTCTGAGACCAGCGTGTCAATGTTTAAGGAATACGTCCTGCCTCACGTCAAGACGTTGGCGCCTTCTCAGGGGCTGGTGGACATGGAGATGGCCTGGAGCAATCGTGTGACTTTATGGCTACCAGAATTCGCCAACCACAACAACATAGAGATCTTATACAAATCGGAGTACTTCAAGCGGCTGCGACTGTTTATCGCTCAGTATGCAGGTCGGTTTGCCTTTAGGAAAAAGGGCGAGTAGAGGACAGAGGATTAGACGACGGGGGATGGTGGAATTTGTGGGAAGCACTGTTGGCTAAAAGGCCGCTGTGATTTTTTAAAATTCCATTATGCCGCAAAAGTCTCTTAAACCAAAGACTATCAAGCCCTTAATCAAACGGCAAAATCGTCCGGCTCAACCTAAGCCTGGTAACCATTCCAAGTCACTAGCTGAAAGGTTGGTCCGAAAGGTAAGCACAACACACTTCGGCATGTCTTCCGACATGTGAAATTTGCGTGTGTCACATGTAGGGTAAGAAAGTAATCGGCATCGACCTTATTGAAGGTAAGCTGGCCGGGGCAGTGATGAGCAATAACCAAGATGTGAAGTTCGTTACGCCCAAGGAACAACATCATAAGAAGGCCAAGAAGTAGGTCTAGCATGCATATCGCGCCGTCCATTCGGCAGCTAAAATGGAGTCCGTCAGGTAGTGAGTGTTGCGCACGACATAGTGTTGCGCACGACATACTGTTGCGCATGAGACGCTGGAGGGTGGCCACCGGAATAATGTGTAAGGACACGCAAGAGAGGACACGCAAGAGCGCCCGGAAGCGCAAAGACTACGTGGACACATGCCCTAGAGATGGGCTAGGGATCCTATAGTTGGAATACCAGGCCTAGCGGTTGGTTCTAGACTTGGGTACTAGGGCTAGAGTTCGTCCTTACCTGTTTTGACAGCCAACTCCGGGTTGGTTTTAAAGACGTCCGCCACGGTGGTATCAAGGGGGTCATCCGGTTCCGGCGAAGACATGAGCGCTTGGATTGACAATAAGACAGTCCTGATTTGTAAAGCAGGCGACCATTTATCCTTTAAAGTGTCCAGACAGATCCTTCCGAGCTTGTCCTACGACAGATCATTTTCAACGAACGAAGTCGGGCCGACATGGCGGAAGTGGGACTTACGATATTTGGATGGTATATCTTGGTTAGAAACCTTACTTTAGGAGATTCCATGGGATAATTCTCGGGAAGGTACAACTCCAGTTTGAAAACTCCTTCTACGCAACCAAAGAAATATAGGGGTGGCGGCGGCCGGGGGTGGCGGCGGCCGGGGATGGCGGCGGCGGGG